GTTATTTTTAATATGTTTTATTGATTTCAGAGAGAAAGGGAGAGGGAGAGAGAGATAGAAACATCTATGATGAGAGAGAATCATTGATCCGCTCCCTCCTGCACACCTCACATTGGGGATTGAGCCCGCAACCCAGGTATGTGCCCTGACTGGGATTTGAACCGTGACCTCGTGTTCATAGGTTGACACTCAACCACTGAGCCACGCCAGTCAGGCCCATGTTATTGTCTTAAAAGCTGCTGAATAACTCAGGGAAGAGCTCATCAGAGTCTGAACCGAGGGCAGGAGCAAGAGGGTAGAGAAAGAAGGGACCAGTTTTTCTGATCATTAGGAAGCACTTGGACAGCAGTGGGATGTATCCTGTGGAGAGCGAGGATGGGAGGTGGTCAGTTTTAACTGACTGGTGTGCTCAGCCTGATGAGCGAGGAGGAAGGGCTGTGGTGAAGGGGGAGGAGCACTGTCCCTTCCCTTGGCTTCTGGAAGGACTGTTTATCCCCTCTTACACTACTTTAGCATCGATGCTGTCACACTTTTGGCTATTTCTGTCTCCCCAGAGGACCGTGAGTAACCCTGACTGATTCACTCGGTTTGGATCCTCAGCAACTAACCTTCAAGAACCCACTGGAATTGAACTGGTGGCACTGTCACCCCAGCTCATTTCACAACAGCACTAGCATTCTGTGCGAGCTCCTCTCATCAGCCAGGCACTGTACTGACGGCTTTTTGTATATTAGATCATATAATTATCATGGCCCTGTCAGGTAGAATTTATTGATGGTGCCATTTAACAGATAAGAAACAAAGTCAGGGGATGCTTTCCCCCTACCCACTTGGGAGTCTGTACTTGTTCTTCAATAAATCTCCATCTTTGCTATACTATCTTCAAAAAAAGAAAATAGCCGGGATCGGTTTGGCTCAGTGGATAGAGCGTCGGCCTGCGGACTGAAAGGTCCCGGGTTCGATTCCAGGCAAGAGCATGTACCTTGGTTGCGGGCACATCCCTAGTAGGGGTTGTGCAAGAGGCAGCTGATCGATGATTCTCTCTCATCGATGTTTCTAACTCTATCCTTCTCTCTTCCTCTCTGTGAAAAATCAATAAAATATATTTTTAAAAAAAGAAAAAAAAATAGAAAAAGAAACAAAGTCACAGAGATGTTAAAGTAAAATGCCCATGGTCACACAACTAGTAAAATGACACTCTTAATGTCTCCATAATCATATGAAGTTTGCACAACTTCTGTGACTTCAGTGGGGCAGGAGCTTCCAGTCCCGTTTGATAGATGAGGAAAATAGGACTCGGGTGACTTTTCCCAAGGTTACATGAGGGAACAGGACTAGAAGTGAAGTTGAAATAACAATAAGATATACACATGGCAACATGGATAAATCTTAAAAATAGTGCTGAATTGCCCAGCCAGCGTGGCTCAGTGGTTGAACATCAATCTAGGAACCAGGAGATTGGGGTTCGATTCCCAGTCAGGGCACATGCCAAGGTTGTGGGCTCGATCCCAGTGGGGGGCGTGCAGGAGGCAGCCGATCAATGATTCTCATCTTGGTGTTTCTTTCTCTTCCTCTCTGAAATCAATAAAAAAATATATTTTTTTAAAAATATTTTTTATTGTTTAAAGTATTACATGTAGTAGTACATATATCTCCTTTTTCCCCCATTGACCTTCCCACCCCTGTCACATGCCCTCATCCCACCCCCCAGTGTCTTGTGACCATTTGTTGTGCTTATATGCATGCATACAAGTCCTTTGGTCGATCTCTTCCCCACCCCCACCCCCGAAATAAATAAAAATGTATTTTAAAAAATAGAGCTGAGCCCTGGCCAGTTTGGTTCAGATACGCTCTATGGACTGTGGATTGAAGGGTCCCAGGTCAATTCTGGTCAAGGGCATGTACCTTGGTTGTGGGGACATCCCCAGTGAGGAGTGTGCAGGAGGCAGCTGGTCAATATTTCTCTCTCATTGATGTTTCAAACACTCTATTCCTTTCCCTTCTTCTCTGTAAAAAAATCAATAAAATATATTTTAAAATAATAGTGCTGAATGAAAAAAATTCACAGAAATATATTCATATATATAAAACCATTTATATAAACATATACTATATACTAGCCCTGGCTGGTGTGGCTCTGTTGGAGCATCATTCAGTACACCAAAAGGAGAATTTGATTCCCCATCTGGGCATTTACCCAGGTTGTGGGTTGGGGTGTGTGCAGGAAGCAACTGATAGATGTTTCTTTCTCATCAATGTTTCTATTTCTCTTTCTCTTTCTCTCAAATCAGTAATAAAATAAAAAATTGTACATATATTTCAAAATTTATACAAATACAAAAACTCCACATTAAACTCATTAGAGTGAAGAGGAGAAAGGATTAAGTTATAGACTGTATTAATCTGTTCAGGTTGCCATAACAGAATGCCACAATCTTAACTAGACATTTATTTCCTCAGAGTTCTAGAGATTGGAAGTCCAAATTCAAGGTGCCGGTAGGGCTGGTTTCTGGTGAGGCCTCTCTCCTTGTGGATAGCCGTCTCCTCACTGGGTCCTTACATGTCCTGCCTGTGCAGAGACATCAGTGGCATCTCTTCTTATGGCCCCAGACCTACCAGATCAGGGCCCCACACTATCACCTCCTTTCACCTTAATTACCTGCTCAAAGGCCCTGTCTCCAAATGGAGTCACTTTGTGGGTAAGGATTCCACACATGGATTTTTGAGAAACACAAGTCAGTCCATAGCATGGGCTAAAAGGGACATAATAAAACCACAAGTATAGAAAGAAAATGGACAGGATCCAGATCAAGCAGGCCCTTATAAAGCATACTAAGGAGACTAGTTTTTTTATTTTTTAAAATATATTTTTATTGATTTCAGAGAGAGAGAGAGAGAGAGAGAGAGAGCGAGAAATATCAATGATGGATCCAGCCAGCAAACAGGCGTACGCCTGGACTGGGAATCGAACCTCCTGGTTCCTAGGTGGACCCTCAACCACTGAGCCATGCTGGCTGGGCTAGCTTTTTTTTAACTGCTTGCTTTTTTATTGTTGTTGTTAATCCTCGCCTGAGGATATTTTTCCCATTGCTTTTTCAGAGAAAATAGAAGGGAAGGAAGGATGGGTGGGAGAGCAAAACATCGATGTGAGAGAGACCAGGGACTGGCTATCTTCCCAACATGCCCTGTCCAGGGGGTGGAGAGCCCAAGTACTTGCCTTCCCTTGCCTAAGAATCCAACCCACAATCCTTCAATGTGCAGGCCCTAATCTACAAGAACCCACTTTGTCTTCCTGGACAAGGCAAGGAGACTAGCCTCAAAGGCTCATAGAAGCCCTGGTCTGTGTGGCTTAGTTGGTTGAGCATCCTCCTGTACACTTAAAGGTTGCTGGTTCAATTCCAGGTCAGGGCACATACCCAGGTTTTGGATTTCTGGCTTGATAGGGGGAGGGGAGGCTGATCAATGTTTCACATGGATGTTTCACTCTCTCCCTCTCCATTCTAAAAGTCTTAAAAATAAATAAATAAATAAATAAATGAATAAATAAATAAATAAATAAATAAAACTCAAAGGAAAAAAATCTTAAAAAAAAAAAAAAAAAAGGCTCAGGACCCTACCTGGTCTGATGGACTGAAGAGTCCTAGGTTTAATTCCGGTCAAGGGCACATGGGGGGGTTGTTGGCTCAAGCCCCAGTAAGTGGTGTGCAGGAGGTAGCCAATCAATGATTCTCATCATTGATGTTTCTATCTCCCTCTCCTTTCCTCTCTGAAATCAATAAAGATATATTTTAAAAACAAATAGAAACAAATTTTTTTAAAAGGCTCAGAGAAGTCACTCAGTTCATAAATGCTAAGATCAATCAATATATAACTGATTGACTCCAAAATTCATGCCATCTGAAACCACTGAGTCCTGACAACCAAGTGGAAATATGTGTATTTCATTTTACATCAGGAAAATGGAGTTCAGAGTGGCCAAATGACTTGCCTAAGGTCACATAGAAGAAATTCTGAGTTTTTAAAAAATCTATTGATTTTTTACAGAGAGGAAGAGAGAGGGATAGAGAGTTAGAAACATCGATGGGAGAGAAACATCAATCAGCTGCCTCCTACACACCCCCTACTGGGGATATGCCTGCAACCTAAGGTATATGTCCTTGACCAGAATCAAACCCGGGACCCCTGAGTCCACAGGCCGATGCTCTATCCACTGAACCAAACTGGTTAGGGCTCTTTCTGAGTTTTATTGGCACTTTCTTTGTGCCAGTCCCTGAGGATATAGAAATTAGGAAAACATGGTCCCTGTCCTTAAAAGCTCAGCCATGAATAGAGAGACATCCAGATAAGCAAATGTGGTCATTGGAGGGCCCTGTGTAAGGTCTGGGAAGTCCAGAGGAGGGAAAATGACTCTGCCTACGGTAATTGAGAAAGATTTCAGAGGAGGAAAAACCCTTTTAATCAAATCCTTGAAGGATGACGAGTTCACCTGATGCACAAAAAGGAAAAAGTCAGAATGGGCAGAGTCGAGGATGTGGGCACTTGCTAAGGGAGAGTGAGTAATGGTGTGATGAGGCCAGATGGGGAAGGCTTTGGCTGCGGGTCAGAAATCTGACTTGATTCTGAGATCACTGGGGAGCCCTGGCAGAGTCTCAAGCAGAGGATGCCTCCGCCAGGAAGGCCTCTCTGGCAGTTGTGCGATGATCTGTAGTCTTTTTAAGAATCCATTGCATTTAAAGAAAAAAAAAAAAATCCATTGTCTGAGTTGGTGAGAAAAATGATGGCCCCTCCCACCTCCAATCCTTTTATGGGTTTTATCACTTTGACCTACAATTTTTTTTTTTTAAACCAACCCTGTCAAAGCTTTCATCTCAGTGCTAGACAGACCAACCTGCTTCCTTCCTCTCTGCCTTCACTCCACCTCCCACCAGGGAGATGCACCAGACAATGGGACTTGGGGGAAAGGTGTGCAAAGAACAGAGGGGTTCAAGCCTCCTGTAGGGATGATGGGCAAAGGGACCCAGATGGTGAGGACCCCAGGTGTTCCTGGTCTTCACTTCCCCGCCTCTCTGGGCCAGTTAAGCATCTCAGCTTCCTACATTGCCCGCCCCCTCATTTGCTGCACTCAACTTCCTGCCCAACTAGAGGAAGTGGGGAGAGACAGCAGGTACAGCAGCAGCTACGGGGCCATGGTGAGTGCTTCTGCCTAAGAATTCAGGTCCCTCGGCCTCAACTGCAAGAGCAGCTGGTCACCCTACAGGAGGCTGTCTTCTAGCCCTGGAGATCAGGTTATACTGGTGCCCCGTCTGCTGCTCCCAGCAGCCTTATGTTGTAACGCGTCCCCCCTCCCCGCCAACAGGACAAGGAGTATGTGGGTTTCGCAGCCCTTCCCAACCAGCTGCACCGCAAGTCCATCAAGAAGGGGTTTGACTTCACGCTCATGGTGGCAGGTCTGGGGGTTTCGGAGGGGGCGGGTCCTCAAGAGACCCTGGCAGTCCTCTCACCTGACCACCTGGGCCTATCCTGCCTACAGGGGAGTCAGGCCTGGGGAAATCCACCCTCATCAACAGCCTGTTTCTCACCAACCTTTATGAGGATCGGCAGCTGCCAGAGGCCAGTGGTAAGACCCTCCCCATCCTCTCCAGGCATTCTACCCCCTCCTACATTCCCACGCCTCACTGCCTGCCTTTCCATCTGCGTCTTCCTTTCCATCTGTGTCCCCCATGACTTTCTGGGGGACTCAGGCAGCTTATTGCTTCTTTCCCTAAAAAAAAATAGATGGGCCAATTGTGATACTGAGAAAGGAAACTAGTCCTGTCAGAGGCCCCTACCAAGTTCCCCGATCTCTTCCCGTACCCACAGCTCGCTTGACACAAACCCTGACGATTGAGCGCCGGGGCGTGGAGATCGAGGAGGGGGGTATTAAGGTGAAGCTGACCTTGGTGGACACACCTGGCTTTGGGGACTCAGTGGATTGCTCAGACTGGTGAGGAGTTGGGGAGGGAATGAGGGGCAATCTCTCAATATGGCTGGCTACTTGGTGGAAATGGAATGGCCAGTAACAGGGCTGGTCTGCTCTGGCCTCCCACCCATCCCAACTGAAAGGTGGGGGGCATTTCTGGTGGCTGCGTGCCCCAAAGTACCCCGTGCTTCCCCACATCTCACTTAGGACCCTGCCAGTTCCCTCATTTCTTTGGCTGGAGACAAAGAAGCTACTTCCCACCCCCCACAGTCTGGCTAGTCTTGCCCTCTTCCCTGCCATGTGACCCGTGACCGCCCACACACACTCTCTCCTCTCCCACATCCCAGCTGGCTGCCCGTGGTGCGCTTCATCGAGGAGCAATTTGAGCAGTACCTGAGGGATGAGAGTGGCCTGAACCGGAAGAACATTCAGGATTCCCGTGTCCACTGCTGCCTCTACTTCATCTCACCCTTCGGCCGCGGGTCTGGGGGTCGCCCCGGGGGTTGGGCATTTGGGGAGGGCTTGGGAGGTGACTCTATATCCTGAGACCAAGCCCTGCCCAACCCTTGGTGCAGGCTCCGGCCCCTAGATGTGGCCTTCCTCCGGGCGGTGCACGAGAAGGTCAACATCATCCCAGTCATTGGCAAAGCAGACGCCCTGATGCCTAGAGAAACCCAGGCTCTCAAGCAGAAGGTGGGTGTGGTGACGTCTGCCCTTTGGCCCCACATGATGCCAAAAGTCATGATCAAACATGAACTCAGCTTTGACTCCTTTGATCTTGGGGTAGACTTCTTGGAGCATGATGGGAAATGCTATTAGAGAAAGTTTCTAAGGAAGGCAGGGAGTAAGCTCGGAATGGAATCCCTGGGCTGGATGCTTGGCCTGTGTGAGGGTAGGAACATAGACATGGTAACCCCTGATGGCCCCCACCCTCCAGTGTCTTCAGAGCCCTCTCCCACTGCTTCTGCTTATCTTTCTCTCTCCTGGTATTTTGGTATCTGCCTCGTCTTAGACTCTTTCCAGGACTCTGCCCTGGCTGTTCGGGTGTCTTTGCCCCAGTCTTTTCACCCTATGACTCTCATTTTCTCTGAGAAAATGTTCATTTCTTTTGTTGTTTTTTTGTTAATTCTCACCCATGGATATTTTTTCCATTGATCTTTATTTAATTTAATTTTTAAATTAAATTCAGCTGAAACCGGTTTAGCTCAATGGATAGAGTGTCAGCTTGGGGACTGAAGGACCCGAGTTCGATTCCGGTCAAGGACGTGTACCTTGGTTGCGGGCACATCCCCAGTAGGGGGTGTGCAAGAGGCAGCTGATCGATGACTCTCTCTCATCGATGTTTCTAACTCTCTATCTCTCTCCCTTCCTCTCTGTACAAAATCAATAAAATATATTTAAAAAAAAATTAAATTCAGTGATGTCCCTCCCTTGTGTGAGATTTTTTTTTTTTAATTTATTTTTATTGATTTCATAGAGGAAGGAGGGGGGAGATAGAAACATCATGATGAGAGAGAATAATTGATCGGCTGCCTCCTACAAGCCCCCCCAACTGGGGATCGAGCCCACAGTCTGGACATGTGCCTTTGACCGGAATTGAAACTGGGACCTTTCAGTTTGCAGGCTGCTGCTTTATCCACTGAGCCAAATCGGCGAGGGCTCCATTGATTTTTAGAGAGTGGAAGAAACAGGAAGAGACACACAGAGAGAAACAGCCATGTGAGAGAGGCACATCAATTGGTTGCCTCCCACACAGTCCCCTGCCAGAGCAAGGGATTGAGCCTATAAATGACATATGTGCCCTTGACCAGAATTGAACCTGGGATCCTTCAGTCTGAGGGCCAACACTCTATCCACTGAGCCCAACTGGCTAGAGCTCTTTTCTTTTCTTTTTCTTTTTTTTAATATATTTTATTGATATTTTACAGACAGGAAGGGAGAGAGAGAGCTAGAAACGTCGGTGAGAGAGAATCATCGATCAGCTGCCTCTTGCACACCCCCTACTGGGGATGTGCCCGCAACCAAGGTACATGCCCTTGCCCAGAATCGAACCCGGGACCTTTCAGTCCGCAGACCGACGCTCTACCACTGAGCCAAACCGGTTTCAGCTCTTTTCCTTTTTATTGATTTTAGAGAAGGGAGAGGGAGAGAAACATTGGCATTAGAAACATGAATTGCCTCCTCCATACACCCTGACCAGGGACAGAACCTGAAACCTGGGCATGTGCTCTGACCAGGAATCAATCCTGCAACCTTTCAGTGCCCAGGATGATGCCCAACCTACTGAGCCACACAGCCCAGGTCTGCATTTTCAGTTCATTTCTCACCATCTGTCTTTCCTGTCTTGACCACCCAGTGTCTGTATCTAAGCAATTTTTGTTGTTGTTGTTAATCCTCACTTGAGGATATTTTCCCATTGACTTTTAGCATGGGAGGGGGACAGAGAAACATTAATTGGTTGCCTTCTGCACGTGCTGCAACCTAGGTACGTGCCCTTGACACTGAGCCAAACCGGCTGGGCCATGCAATATCTGTTCACAGCCTCTGTGATTCTCACTGTCTCTGTGTCTGTTTCCTCTGAGATTCGGGACCAATTGAAGGAGGAGGAAATCAACATCTACCAGTTCCCTGATTGTGACTCAGATGAAGATGAAGACTTCAAGAGGCAGGATGCAGAGATGAAGGTGCAGAGGCAAGGGAGGAAGGGGCAGAGAAGCAGGGGAGGCAGAGGTGGAGGTGGAAGCCTGGAAAGAAGTTTTTGCCCTGGAGGGGCCAGTGGTGATCCCTGATTCCTGCCCTATAGGAAAGCATCCCTTTCGCAGTTGTGGGTTCATGCGAGGTAGTGAGGGACATCGACTCCCGACCAGTGAGGGGTCGCTGCTACTCCTGGGGCACCGTGGAGGGTGAGTAAGGCTGCGCATGCGTTCTGAGGCCAGAGGCACCCAGGCCACCTCCAAGTCAACCGCACCCAACAGGTGATGGTGGGTGAGCTCTGGTCTTGGAGGTCCTAGGAGCCCAATGAGAGGTCTTTGAGCTGCAGAGCATGACCCTCCCCTGCAGAGGGGTAGGATTTCTGGAAGACCTTACCCAGAGGGTGGGCCTGGACCGGAAGCTTCCTGATGCTGCGGTCTGTCCCCCAGTGGAGAACCCACATCACTGCGATTTCCTGAACCTGCGACGGATGCTGGTGCAGACGCACCTGCAGGATCTGAAGGAGGTGACGCACGACCTGCTCTACGAGGGCTACCGGGCCCGCTGCCTGCAGAGCCTGGCCCGGCCTGGGGCCCGCGATCGGGCCAGCCGCAGGTGAGAGCCGGCGCTGACTCGGGTGCTTCCGTGACCCCGCCTTCACCCTCCAGATTTTTCCCCAAAGTCTTTCCCCACCCAGCTTGCTTCCGGCCCTCACCTCAAGGACAAGAGCCCACCTCCCAGAGTCCGACCCCCTTCCAGGCCCGGCCTCGGGGTCATGACCCACACAACCACGGTCCCGCCCTTGGTTCCTATCCCTTTTCTCACCCCCTAGTAAGCTCTCCCGCCGGAGCACCACCGAGATCCCGCTGCCCATGCTGCCCATGCTGCCCCTGGCCGAGACTGAGAAGCTGATCCGCGAGAAAGACGAAGAGGTGAGCAAGCGCCTCGCCTCCCCACGGACCACAGCCCCAGTCCTCCTCCAAGAAGCCCCTCTGGCCGCCCGGCCCACCGCCTGCAATCTCGCCCCGCACAGCTGCGCCGCATGCAGGAGATGCTGGAGAAAATGCAGGCGCAGGTGCAGCAGAGCCAGGCCCCGGGCGAGCAGTCGGACGCCCTCTGAGGACCCCGCCCGGTGCCGCTTCACCCCAGCTCCGCCCTCCTCCGCCTCTGGTCCAACCCCGGGGCCCCGGGCTGCCCGGCGCCTGACCCGGAGCCCGCCCTGGCACGGGGCTCGGGCAAACCGGCTCTCCCGATCCCAGAGCCTTAGTCCCGCCTTTGGCCCCGCCCCGCCCTCCCGGAGCCGGAGCTTCCAGCCCAGCAGTGTCTCCATAAAGACGTTTCCTGCCCTGACCATGTGGCTCCATTGGTTGACCGTTGTCAAGTGCACCGAAAGGTCACTGGTTGGACTCTGGCCCAGATTGCCGACCCGGCCGGGGTGCGTTCGGGAGGCAACTGCAATGGATCGATGTTCCATGTTTCTCTCACAAATAGATGTCATTTTCTCTCTAAGATCAATTTAAAAATTAAAAAACAGCCCTAACCGGTTTGGCTCAGTGGATAGAGCCTGTGGACTCAAGGGTTCCAGGTTGGATTCCGGTCAAGGGCACATCTCCAGTGGGGGGTGTGCAGAAGGCAGCTGTTCAATGTTTCTCTTTCTCTCTCATCGCTGTTTCTAACTCTCTCTCCCTCTCTCTTCCTCTCTGTAAAATATCAATAAAATATATTTAAAAAAAATTAAAAAACAGTCCTGGCCAGTTTGGCTCAGTGGATAGAGCGTCGACTTGTAGACTCAAGGGTCCCAGGTTTGATTCCAATCAAGGGCATGTACCTTGCCTGTGGGCACATACCCAGTGGGGGGTGTACAGGAGGCAGCTGATTGATGTTTCTTTCTCAACGATGTTTCTGACTCTCTATCCCTCTCCCTTCCTCTGTAGAAAAATCAATAAAACATACTTTTTAAAAATTAAAAAACAAAGCTAAGTTTCCTGAGGCCACACGCTTTCTCTTTCCCTGTGGGAATAAACGGCATGCTCAGAGGGCCCAGGCATTCATTCATTCATTCATTCATTCGTGGGGCACTGGCCTTGTGCAGTGATTCAGCCACCTCCCCGCCGGCGCCCTCACAATGACACGCTGACGGGTAAGAAACAAAGACCAACTCAATTTTATTAGGACTCGGGGTGGGGTCAGCTGTCAGGAAGGGTTGGCTAGAGGAGGCCTCAAAGGCCCTCTACTCCTGGTCCTTGGCATCGCCATGTGTGATGACGTAGCAGATATTCTTGTAGTCTACCATGCCGGTCACATCGGGAGGGAAGGCAGCCCACATGTTCTTGATCTGGGAAAGATGGCCAGATCGGGTTTCCTGCCGGTTCCTTGAGCTTCCCTGCCCTACCCCTCTGCCTTTCCCAGGCCCCGGCCCCACTCACCTCTTCCTGGGAGAAGCGGTCACATTGGGTGGTAAGTAGCTCCTCCAGGCTAGAGAGAGATGACATAAGGGCAGTTGAGATGGGGCCTGTAAGTTCTTCCTACTCCCACCTCATCCTTGTTGCTATTCCCAGTTTCTCCTGAAAACCAGGGTTACTCTAGAATCCTTCCAGGGAGCTCACAAACACGAACACAAAAGGCTTTTGCCCTTCTCCCCACACGTGATGTGAAAATGTAATCCTAATCACAGTCTTCATTTCTCCCTTGTCCCTGGCAATGCCTAACCCTTGGCAGGAATGTAAGGAGGCTTTCTGTGGGTGAGCCGCCGGAGGGATCACTTACAACTGCTTCTTGATAACACCCTTCCCTTCAGGGTCCAGGACCTTGAAGGCTCCAGTGATCACATCCTCGGGGTCAGCACCTGGAGTCAGAGGGCACAAGGGTCCCTGAAGGGTCTGTCCCTGAAAGCTCTGGGGAAGGGCAGCTGGGAGCTCGGACCCAGGACACTTCATTCACCTTTGAGCTTCTCTCCGAACATAGTCAGGAAGACGGTGAAATTGATGGGACCGCTGGCTTCCTTCATCATTTCATCGAGCTCCTCATTCTTCACATTGAGGCGCCCTGGAAGGGGGCAGGGGAAGCATGAGCTGAAGTGGGGTCCTGGGACCAGAGGGTGATATTTCTCATAAATTCAGGTCATCCCACCCATTTTTCATCTGAGTAGACTGAGGTGGAGTCAGCAGGGCTGGCCCCCAAGGCTGCTGAATTCCCAGGACTCTGTAGTCTTGGGAATTTCAGGAGGTTGGGTGGGGGGCTCACCCATGGCTGCGAAGGTGTCCCGCAGGTCTTCCTTGTCAATAATGCCATCACGGTTCTGGTCAATGACTGTGAAGGCCTGTGGAGGGCAAGGGCAGGGAGGGGTTAGGTCCCCCATGGCCAGGCCTTAGCATCTTTACTCCAGGCAGATCAGATTGTGGCTCCCAGCCAGCTGTCCTCTTTCATGCCAAGAAGAGAGGGGAGCAAGGAATTCTAAACCCTTCCCCTCCCACTAAAACAGGTGCACATTCCGGGGTGGGAGGGTGGGGGGAGGGCAGCTAGGGTGCCTTCAGTCAGCCTTCAGTCTCCCTCCCCTTCACTCACCTCCTTGAACTCCTGGATCTGAGTCTGGTCGAACATTGAGAAGACATTGGAGCTCCCACCCTCTGCTGCTGCCCTCCTCTTGGCCTTCTTGGGTGCCTGGGGGGTGAGGGTTGGGCAAAGACATCCATGGGCCAGATCCTACTATTCTCTGGAGGCAATGGATTAGGTTCAGGGTTCTCTGAGTCCCTCCTTGTAAAGCAACTCATCTGGCTCTAGGCTTCTTCCTCTTTGTGACTGCTTCGCTGTGAGTTCCTATTTCAGTTGCACCCCCAAATTCCTCTCTGTGGCCCTTGAGTCCCATCCCTCCATCCTACCCAAGTGCAAGTTTCCTCATCTTAGTGTCCTGAGCCTGCCTCCTCTGAGTCCCAGACTTCCTGTATGACCCTGATCCACTCATTCATTCTGTATGAACCTCTACTTTCTCATTTATAAAATGGGAGTGGGGAAGGTGTGGGGGGAGGTCAGAAGGGATCAATGGGGGGAAAGGCGATATTTGTCATACTTTCAACAATAAAGATTAAAAAAAACAAAACTACACACACATGGGAATGGGAATCCTTGCCAGCTTGGTCCCAGAGGGTTTTAGAAAGATAGGAGCAGGAGAGTATGGAGCATGCTTTGAGAGGGGTTGGGTTCCAGTGTTGGGATTATCACTAATGCACCCCATTAGTGACATCAAGGAAAGAAGGACTCCTCTTTCTTTCTCTTGATGGACTGGGCACCAGCTACCTTCTTTCAAAGGCTGAGCTGCTTTGAGGTCTGAGGGGTCTGGGCAGGGGGTGGGGGATTCTTACCATGTCTTCAGTTTCCCGGGGGCAAGGCTGGTAAGTAGCAGAGAGCAAGCTTGCCGCAGTCTCTCTGGGGTTATATAGTCTTGCTCCTGGGAGCCCTTAACATACCAGGGTAACCTTAGCCTGCGGGTGCCCACCCCAGAGACCAAAATAGCCTGGCTCAGGGCCTTTCCTTTCTTGGAGGGCCTGCAGCAGCTGGAGTCCAGGGAGAGAGGGAGGAGGGAATGAGTCTTGGGATGCATGTCTCATTAGGACCTGGGCAGGAAGGGTTGTTCTTTCTCTCAAACGGGGGCTAGAAAGCGCCAGAGTTCAGAGAAGGCCCAAGTCGGGCCACATCTCTTGGAGAGAGATGAACCACATCCCCGAACCCCTGAGTGGGGTGTGCCTAGATTTAAACCCAATAAGTTTATTGAGCACCTATAGTGTGCCAGGTGCTGTGCTGTGCTTTCTGGGTGCACTTTGACAAACATAACCTGCTCCCATTTGGAGTTCACAGTCAAGTGAGAGTATGTGTAGGGATAGCGGCAGAGTTTAGAGGTGGGAGAGAGCCGTCTGGGGAACCTGAAGGACCAGGAAAGTGGTCTACATTCCCTTCAAGGAGGAGGAGGAATTTGTGAGGAAAGATAGAACATGGGATCACTGGGTATGAAGAGAGTAGATAGCCTGGGGCAGAGGGCCTGCTCTGTCATCTTGGGCTTTGTGCTCCAGCCCCCTGGGCCTTGGTTTCCCTTTCTGTAAAATGGAATTTAATGCTCATCCCACAGAACTTGTGGATCTGAACACTATTTGGAAACAGTTTAGTGAAATGTAATCGTATTATTACTTAGGCCCTGCCTTAGTGGAACTTACAGTCCAGTCATGAAGACAGGATAAATACAGAGCAGCCCTGCCTAGGAGCATAAAAATGAGTTTATGAAGATCAGTAGAGGTGAGTCAGGGGAACACAGAGGAGCAGGTATGCCAAACAGAGGGCATGGATAGGCAAAGGCCTGGAGAAGCGAAAGATCAGAAGTGGTCAGGTTGCCAGAATCATAATGGGGCATGAACGGAGGGGCTAGAAACCTCTGATACTGGAACTGGAGCGCCTTCAATGCCAGGCTGAGGCCTGAGACCTTGGGAGGCTTGAAAAGGTTTGAAACAGGAGAAGGACATAGTGTAGTGTGAGTCTATAACCATTTCTTTGATATTAGTTTGAAAGTTAGAACTCAGAGGTAGGGAGTCAGAGACACAAAAAGAGAAACTAGTTGGTCACCTCTTCTTGGTTGATTGGGATGGTCAGTGGCTTCTCAATCCATTCTGGACAAAAACCAGCTCGGCTGACTGTGTGACTTTGAAGCATTCTCTCCCACCCCTCCAGTGCAGGTCTGGGGCAATATTGGCTGAGGAAGCTCCGGGAGGCCCAAGGTTGGCAATGACATCGCCTCTTCTTGCTCCCTTTAGGACCCAATGTCCTGAGCAAGGTGCCTCCTTCCTTTTCCCTCCTCCAGCCTCATGCCAATGCCTCTAAGACATTTTCTTTTCTGGGCACTGGGGCCCAGCCACCTGTTGTCTCTAAGAAGAGAGAAGAAACCACCCTAAACTTAGCAGCTGCTCTTGGCCTCCTAAACTGGCCCCTCCCTGCCTCGTTTGACAGCTGCTTCTCCTTATAAGGTTACTATGGAGGTCCAGGCCACGGGGAAACCCACTTTATACAGGGTTCTGGGGGGAGGAGAACTCCAAAGACAGGAATGGGAGAAGTTTGGGTCAACTGGAAAGCAGGGAAATTGAGAAGGAGATCAGGAGCAATATATTTCAGATACTGAATGGGAGGGAGTTCCGGAACTCAGAAACCAAGGAGGAACAAGGGAGTTAGGCCTGATTGAAGTTTCAAGATGGTGGACTCTGTGGAGCCTATAATCCGGCATCTTGGGGTAATGAGGGTCAGAGAGAGAGAAAGGCTCAGAAAGTCAGGACTTTGTGTTTGTGATCTAGGATAGGCTGGGGCGCTCATAAGATTGGGGTCTGGTTTCTTAGCAGAAAATGAGCACAGAGAAGTGTGGCAATGAGGGGATAGTAGTTGATTGAAGGGTCTTGAATTACCAAAAAAATAAGAACATAGATGTAAGATTTCATGGTTTGGGGTCTGGGATCCTCACTAGAATGGGGCAAATTGAAAGGATGAGGTGTAAAGACTTGGGGCTTAGGATTCCCCCAGGAAATGGAGGATTCAGAGAAATTGGCCTTTGGAGGTTTTGGTTACAGTTGCCTGGGCTTGAAAGAATTGGTTGTGAGCCGAGGTGAGAGACAGGATGGAGATGGAGAGCGCTGGATCAGGGTACTGGGTCTGTGTCTGAGCTCAGGGACTCACTTGCCACCAGAGTGGGGCAGAGTGAGGGAAGATCGGTAGCTGGATAGAGAATGGGGGCCCAGAAAGGATTCGGGCAGGGCAGCGGCATTCTTATTGGCTAAGGGTTTCCGCTAATGCCCCCGGCCCTCCGTCTCTACTCGGCGCTGTCCCCAACTGTCACCTCCCTGCTGCGCTAGTCTCCGGCTGTCACTGATATCCCTGGGCTGGCACCGCCTGCTGGCAGCACCCCTCCCCTTTGGCCTGTGCTAAAGTGAGCGAATGCGCTCATTGGCTGACGAGGCAAGTTCATTGCACATTTTGCCCGCCCCCCAGCTGTCATTCCTTCTGACCTTCTTGGGAGACGTAAAGAGTGTCTCAGTTCTTCCTATTGACTGCGGATGCTGTCTGTCACCGCCCAAATAGATGGGACTGTCTGTCAATCTGACCTCCGCCTATTCCTTTTCATTGGCTGCCGTTTTATCGTTTATATTAGCCAAGCCCGCCTCTTCTCGCCCTGTACCAGCCTCCTGCCGCGGTCATTCACGCTCCCGCCGTTCCTATTGGCCAGGAGGTTCAGCTTCCTGATTTTCTATTAGTTACTCCTTTCGTCCCGCCTTCTCCCACCTTCACCCGTCCTCTCATTGGCCTTATACCTTTTCTCCATTTCCTCTTCCCACCTCCAACCTCGCCCACCCGTACAACGATTGGCAGAAACCCAGTTCCCTTTCTCCTATTATTCGCCCAAACCCTCCAACGAGGCGGGAGCAAAAAGAAGCGCGATGGGACGGCCCGCGCGCAGGCGTGAAACGCCGGAACGCTGGCCGCTCCGCCGGCAGCCGGCCGTGTGCGCAGGCGCGAGGTCGGTTGCTGCCCAAAGCAGGAGGGAGGGGGCGGCGGCGAGAGCGAACCGGGTGAGAGGGCGCGACAGAGACCCCGGCCCCGGAGCCCCGGGCCCGCGCGCCGCCTCCGCGGCCCGCGGCCGCCCGCGCGCCGTCCCCGCCCCCAGCGCGCGCCGGGCCGCGCCCTTCACCTCCCCTTCCTCGACGGGCGGCGCGGAGCGGCCTGAGGGCGGCGCCTTCTGCGGCCGTCCCGGCCGGGAGGGGGATGTGAGGGGCGGCCGGCGGCCATGGAGACGGGCCCGGCGCCCCTTGTGGCCCCGCCACGCCGTCATGGCGCCCCCGCGGCCCCCTCGCCGCCGCCCCGCGGCTCCCGAGCCGGGCCCGTCCTGGTGGTGGCTCCGGGGCCGCCAGTGACCACGGCCACCTCAGCCCCGGTCACCCTGGTGGCCCCCGGGGAGGCGCGGCCCACCTGGTTACCGGGGCCGACCCAGACCTCGGCCCCGGCTTCAGCTCCGGCCCCGGCCCCGGCCCCGGCCCCGGCTTCAGCTCCGATTCCGGCTTCAGCCCCGGCCCCGGCTTCAGCTCCGATTCCGGCTTCAGCCCCGGCCCCGGCTTCAGCCCCGGCCCCGGCTTCAGCTCCGGCCCCGGCTTCAGCCCCGGCCCCGGCTTCAGCTCCGATTCCGGCTTCAGCTCCGGCCCCGGCCCCGACGGTCACGAGCAGCACAGTGGTGGTGCTAACGCTGGAGGCCTCAGCCGAAGCGCAGGTCTCCCCCGGCGCAGAGGTCCTGGTGCCCGCGGCAGTCTCGACGTCAGTAGGGGACCAGACGTCAATGGCTCAGGCCGAAGGGGCAGACTCTCCAAAGACGGAGGAGACTAGAACCTCACCCGCCTCTGGATCGGGAATCTCCAACGGGACCTCCACCAGAACCCCTTCCAGAACGGCTCCCGGAGCGCTGACCGCCAAACCCCCCCTTGCCCCCAAGCCGGGAACCACAGTGGCTTCAGGAGTGACTGCACGGATTGCAGCAGGGACAGCAGGACAGGTGACAAGTGGACATGGAGCTGCAGCATCAGCATCAACAGGACAGGTTCCAGAGGACCCCTCAGGGCCTGGCACAGGGCCTTCGGGGGCTAGTGAACCTCAGGGAGCGGTTGTGACGGTGACCCCTGCTCCAGAGCCTGCAGAAAACTCGCAGGATCTAGGCTCTATGTCCAGCCTGGGGCCTGGCATCTCTGGGCCCCGAGGGCAGGCCCCAGACACCATGAGCTACTTGGACTCCGTGAGCCTCATGTCTGGGACCTTGGAGTCCTTGGCGGATGATGGGAGCTCCATGGGCTCAGACTCAGAGATAAACGGGCTGGCCCTGCGGAAGACGGACAAGTATGGCTTCCTCGGGGGCAGCCAGTATTCGGGCACCCTGTGAGTACCCGGTGGGCACCCTGTGGGCTGCTTCAGTGAAGCAGGTTTGGGGAGGGGGAGAAGCAGCACCTCGCTCAGACTCCGGCAGCCCCGCCGCCTCTGAGGATGCAGGGGTGATTAGAGGGTGTGGGGTACCTGGCCATTCCTGTCGTGCCCTAGCCTAGAGCATCCTCACCCGGAAGTTCTGCACGTGTTTGTGTTTCAGAGCAGGTGTCAGGAGTTCTGGGTTTGAGCCTAAGCTGAGCCTTTGGCGTGTTGTGTGCCCTTGAGCTGGTGTCTTCCCTGTTTCCTTGCTCGGTTTCCTCTGTGAAATGAAAGGCTGAATGGAATGATGTCTAAGATCATCCCAGCTCCTTAATGTGACACTCTAGCTTTGAGCCAGATATTCTGTTGGCTGGGCAGGGATTCTGGTAGAGATCTTTGGTCCCCTAGTGGGAGAGTCTCTGTGAAGCAGGCATCTCACCTTCCTCACAGCCCTAGGTCTGATGGGGTGGGGAAGTGAAGTCTGGTTGATGGAAGGAGACCCTGAAAGGGTGTCTCTGCGGAACAGAGGACAGTCTTGTGTTTTCACTGAGGGAAAGGGGGTGGGGAAGGTCTCTTCCCCATTTTCTCATTTCCCCAGCCCAGCTTACTCTTTCCTAGTTCCCTCCAGGGGCCTGAGTCACTCCTGAGGTGGGGGTGTGATCACCTCTGACTTCTTCCTTCTCTCTCTCTGGATCTTGCACGTTGTTCCTCTACCCCTCTGACCTGCTGTCAGTTCAGCATCACCCGTACCCAGGTGGCAGGCCCTGTGCAGGATATTAAGGACAAAACAGTCATTTCAAGTTGCTCATCATTTAGAGGGAGAAATAAACCTATATACTTGGTTCCAGTGTATGTTAGGTTTCCCTTAGAAATGATCACAGGATTTTGTGAGCACCTGGGGAAGGGATGTTAGCAGTCTGGGAATCCTGCTAAAGCTAATCGGAATCTTAAAGAATATGTAGGATTTAGTCATGGCTGGGGCTGTTGGGGTTAGTGGAGTACCTGCCTGGTGGCGAGAGAGTATTCTAGTCAGGGATTATTAGCCCCACACACACACACACACACACACACACACACAATCAGAAAACCTTTGCGCACCAACGTTCTTGGTCCTGTAAGGGGAAGGCAACTGAAATTTGACCCTGATGCTTTCCCAGGCTTGAGGGATGTGTTGTACCCAATTTACAAATGAAGAAGCAATTGAATGAATTGCTCTACTCAGTCTGGATGTCTGTGATCAATGGTTCTCTCCTTAATACCATGTTATCCTAAAGAACTCTTGGATTGAATTGGATTTTAGTGAGGCCCTCGTGTATGCCAGGCACTGTGCTGAGTGCTGTTTCTCTGCTTTGTAGTTGTGTCCCTCTAAAATCCGTCTTCTGTGCTGGAGGAATCTACTAGGCGGAAGGAAGGCTGATCGGGCCATACCTTAAAAACTTTTAGGGGCTTCCCACGGGCCACAGGATAAGTGCTTTAGCCTGCACATAGGCTCCTTGTTATCTGGCCCTGCCAGCCCCCCGGTCTTCTCTCCTGCTGCTCCTCAGCATCACTTACTGCCGTGGTCCTGTTGAACTGACTCATCCTCAGGCCAGGGATACCTTTCTCCCCCTTTCCTGCTAAGCTAGACCCCGACTTGTGGCTTACTTCTCCAGGAAGCCTTTCCTGATATCCACTTCCCCTACTCCAATTAGACGCCTCTTCTCTGCATTTTTTATTTTGGTTAATCCTCACCGGAGGATATTTTTTCCATTGATTTTTAGAGAGGTGGAAGGGAGAGGAACACAGAGAAACATTGATATAAGAGATACATCAATTGATTGCCTCCCCTACACCCTAACCAGGGCCAGGGATCGAACCTGCAACTGAGGTATGTGCCCTTGACCTGAATCAAACCAGGGATCTTTCAGTCCGAAGGCCTACACTCTATCCCACTGAGCAAAACCAACTAGGGGTTATTTTTAATTTATTTTTATTGATTTCAGAGAGAAAGGGGGAGAGAGAGAGAGATACAAACATCAATGATGAGCCTGGCCAACGTAGCTCAGTGGTTGAGCATCGACCTATAAACCAAGAGGTCACAGTTCGATTCCCAGTCAGGGCACATGCCCGGGTTTCAGACTCAATCCCTAGAGTGGGGCATGCAAGGAGGCAGCCAATCATGATTTCCTTTCATCATTGATGTTTCTGTCTCTCTCTCCCTCTCCCTTCTTTGAAATCAATAAAGATATATTAAAAGAAAAACAAAAAAGAAACATCAATGCTGAGAGAGAATCCTTGATTGGCTGCCTTCTGCACGCCCCACAACCCGGGCATGTGCCCTGACTGGGAATTGAATTGTGACCAGGATCCTAGTTCATAGGTTGCATCTCAACCACTGAGCCACACTGGCCAGGCTCTTCTGTGCATTTTTAAAAACATATATATTTGCCCTGGCTGGTTTGGCTCAGTGGCTAGAGCGTCAAGGGTCTCAGGTTCGATTCCGGTCAAGGGCATGTACCTTATTTGCAGGCACATCCCCAGTGGGGGATATGCAGGAGACAGCTGATTGATGTTTCTAACTCTGTCCCTCTTCCTTTCTCTCTTGTGAAAAAAATCAATAAAATATATGAAAAAAAACACATATATATTTTTTATTAATTTTACAGAGGAAAGAAGAGAGAAATAGAACCATCAACGATGAGAGATCATTGATCGGCTGCCTCCTGCAAGCCCCACATTGGGGATCGAGCCCGAAACCTGGGCATGTGCCTTGACCGGTAATGGAACTGTGACCTGGTTCATAGGTTGGTGCTCAATCACTGAGCCATGCTGGCTGGGTGAGCCCTCTATTTTAATAGTCCTTTATATACAGTTTCTCAATAGACTTCTCATCTCTTTGTTTGTGTTTTTGTTATTTTTAAATATATTTTTATTGATTTCAGAGGGGTAGGGAGAGGGAGAGATAGAAACATCAATGATGAGAGAGAGTCATTGATTGGCTGCCTCCTGCATGCCCTCCTTTGGGGATCGAGCTTGCAATCCAGGCATGTGCCCTTAACTGGAATCGAACCTGGGATCCTTCAGTCCACAGTCTGATGCTCTATTCACTGAGCGATACCAGCTAGGGTTCTCATAACTTGGTGATGTAGGTTGTGACATCCCTGTTTTACATATGAGGAAGAGATTCAGGTTATCACTTATCAAGACACCTGACTTTTTTTTTTTTTTTTTTTAATATGTTTTATTGATTTTTTACAGAGAGGAAGAGGGATAGAGAGTTAGAAACATCGATGAGAGAGAAACATCGATCAGCTGCCTCTTGCACATTCCATACTGGGGATGTACCCACAACCAAGGTACATGCCCTTGACCAGAATCGAACCTGGGACCTTTCAGTCCGCAGGCCGACCCTCTATCCACTGAACCAAACTGGTTTTGGTAAGACATCCTGGCTTCTAAGGACAGAAATGGGATTTGAGCTCAGGTCTGTCTGGAAACCCAAGCTTGCTCTTCCATTCCACTCACCTCCTGGCATTGGCTCCTAAAAGTAACTGTTTCAAGACTGATGAGGACCCTGGCTGTAGTTCATGTGGTTAGAGCATCATCTCTATATGCCAAAGTTGCCGGTTTGATCCCCAATCAGACCACATACAAGAATCAACCAATGAATGCATAAATAAGTGGAACAACATATTGATGTTTCTCTCTCTCTCTCTCTCAAATCATTAAAAATATTTTTAAAAAGTCTGTTAAAAACAGACTGATGGGGCATCTTGATGTGTAGCTCTGACATACAGTGAGCAAACAGTGTAAAGAAAGCTTCGTTTGCCTGGGAATCGAGTGATTTCAGAGAGGAGGAGGTAAAGAGAATTGCAGATGGCCCAAGGGAATCTCAAAAGTCTGATAGGAGGAAACTCAGTGCTTCTAAGAAGACAGAGAAATACATTCTATATTTTATTTTATGGATAATAATTGTTATTATTTTCTGCACTCCTATATGTATTATTTCATATAAACTGTCAGGTAGATAATGTTTTTCTCTCCATCTTATACATGAGGAAATTGAGGCTTAGAGGGATTAAGTGACTTACCCAGGGTCATACAATAAATAAATGTTAAAAGCTAGAACTTGAGCCCAAACTGTTTGGCTCAGCTGTGGAGCGTCGGTCTGTGGACTGAAAGGTCCCAGGTTCGATTCCGGTCGGGGGCATGTACATTGGTTGCAGGCACATTCCTGGTAGGGGGTGTGCAAGAGGCGGCTGGTCGATGTTTCTCTCTCATCGATGTTTCTCTCTCATCGACGTTTCTAGTTCTCTATCTCTCTACCTTCCTCTCTGTAAAAACTCAATAAATTATATTAAAAAAAAAAAAAAAAAAAAGCTAGAACTTAAATTCAGGTCTAATGCAAACTATGGTTTTAAATATTCTGTACTCTCCCCCGAACTTAAATACACTAGAAGTAGGATTTAAACACACCTCTGTATAGAAATCCAACATGGGGACACAACTGTGCAGATTCCTTAAAGGGAAGAAGTCCTTTCAGTTGGTTAAGGAGGACCTTGGATAGTTGAATGGCCAGACCTGATGTTTGGTAGCTCAGAATGTTTTTATGGCCAGTCTCTCATGTAAGCCTAGAGAGGGGGCTTGCCTCAGTTCCCTCGGCACTCCTGGTGTTATACTACCGCTACTGACCCTTTCCATGCTCCCCATTTGCAGAGAGAGCTCCATTCCCGTGGACGTGGCTCGGCAGCGGGAGCTCAAGTGGCTGGAGATGTTCAGTAACTGGGATAAGTGGCTGTCACGACGTTTCCAGAAGGTTTGAGAAGGCTAAGTGGTGGGCAGGGGCAGGGTGGGCCCTCGTGCTCTGGGGAAGCCCAGGAACATGACAGTATCTGCTCTGTGGAGCAGCCTGGGGAGAAGTGGGACTGGGCCTGGGGGAAGAGTAACTTTAAAGATAAGCTAGGCCAGGTCTAGTGGAGTGGAGTTAAGCCTACGAGTGTGGGAGGGTGTCCCAGGGAGCCGAGGATTGCAGGGGAAAAAAAGGAGGCTGGGCCGGTCCCTGAAGCTGTTCCCCTGCCTGCCATTCTGCCTTAGGTGAAGCTGCGCTGCCGGAAGGGAATACCCTCCTCCCTCAGAGCCAAGGCCTGGCAGTATCTGTCCAATAGCAAGGAACTCCTGGAGCAGAACCCGGGCAAGTTTGAGGTGTGTCCAGGGTGTGGGGACATATGACTCTGGCTGAAGGATATCATCAGCTCCTTCCAGATCCTGAGGTAATTGTTGCTTTCCCCCTGCAGGAGCTGGAACGAGCTCCTGGGGACCCCAAGTGGCTGGATGTGATTGAGAAGGACCTGCACCGCCAGTTCCCTTTCCATGAGATGTTTGCTGCTCGAGGAGGGCATGGGTAAGGTGTCTGGCCATGTGGCTTAGGTAGCAAACATTTGTTGATGGCTCCGGGTAGATACAAGACAGTTGGAAGCAGTTCATGCTCTCAAGGACTTCTAGAAGGCTGATCCTTCATGGATTGAGTGTTAAGCCATATTGAGGGAAGTGACATGGTGTGTGGGGTTGGGAGGCTATTGTAGGGGCAAAAAAGGGAGGCACAGCAAGGGCTCATTGCATTTGAGCTGGGCTTTGAAGGCTAGTTGGGAACGGAGCAGGGGATAAGGTTTTCCTGCCTGGGGGGTTGTGCAAGTTGTGTTTGGGCAGTGAGGTTGGGTAGTTGAAGCTGGAAAAGTAGTTTAGGGCCTATTCACCAAGCATCCTTAAATACTGTGCCAAGGCACTTGAATTTTTGTTCTTTTTCCCAGGCTTTTCCAAGATGTATTTTTACTGCTCCCCAGTAATTTGCAAGTTGATCTTAGGTGGTTCTCGAATGGACATTTTTCATCAACAAGTTCATCCTTTCAGCAAATGTTTATTGAGCATCTACTATCTGCTAGGCACTCTTCTAGTCACAGATGACAGCAGTGAACAAGAGACAAAAACTGTTGCCCTCATGGGGCTTATTATATTTTAGTGGGGATAGACAATAAGATGAAAGAAAGTATAGTGTATGTGAAATAAATGATGGTAAGTAATTAAGAGGAGTTTAAAGTAAGAGGGTAATAGAGAATGTGGATGGAAATTGGGGTTATAAGTGATTGGATCTGACAACATTTTATTTTTTTTTTAATATGTTTTTATTGATTTTTAGAAAGAAAGGAAGGGAAAGGGATAGATAGAAACATTGATGAGAGAGAAACATCGATTGGAGATTGGGCCAGCAACCTGGGCATGTGCCCTGACCAGGAAGAACTGGTGACTTCTTGGTTCATGGGTCTATGGTCAACCACTGAGCTATACCAGCTGAGCAGATCTTTATTTTACTTTTTTTCTTAATCCTCATCTGAGGATATTTTTTTCCATTGACTTTTATTTTTTTTTTTTTTTTTTTTTTTTTTAAAATATATTTTATTGATTTTATACAGAGAGGAAGGGAGAGAGATAGAGAGTTAGAAACATCGATGAGAGAGAGTCATCGATTAGCTGCCTCTTGCACACCCCCTATTGGGGATATGCCCGCAACCAAGGTACATGCCCTTGACCGGAATCGAACTCGGGACCCTTCAGTCCCCAAGCCGACGCTCTATCCATTGAGCCAAACCGGTCCCGGCTCCATTGACTTTTAGATAGAGTAGAAGGGATGGGGAGAGCCAGAGAGAGAGAGAGAGAAAAAAATCAATGTATGACTAATACATTGATTACCTCCTGCACAGGGTCTAGGATTGAGCCTGCAACCCAGGTATGTGCCCTTGATTGGAATTGAACCTGAGACCCTTCCAGTCTACAGGCCAATACTCTAACCATTGAACAACTGCGTAGGGCTGACTTGTATATTTTAAAAGGTTCATCCTGGCTGCTGTGCTAAGGATAGCCTATAAGGAGACAAGAACAGAAGCAGAAAGAACAGTGAGGAGACTCCATAATTCAGGAGAGAGATTGATAGATAAGGATGGTAGCAGGGGAACTACTGGGAGAAATGGTTGGATTCTGGTTATATTTTGAAGATAGAGCCAAATGGATTTGCTAGTTGGTTAAATGTGGAGTGTGTGAGAGAGAGAGGGACAAGGAGGAGTTATCAATGACTCCTAAGGTTTTTGGCCTAAGAAACTGGGAGAATGGAGTTACCATATACTGATATGGATGGAGAAAATGGGGGGGGGGGGTAAGTTTGGGAGGTATATCAGGAGTTCAGTTTTGGAATGTGTAGTTTGAAATGCTTATTGGACATCAAGATGGAGATGTCAAGTAGGTTGGAAGTAAAGATAAGTAGGGATTTCGGGGAGAGGTTTAAATTGGAAAGAAATTGGAAAGTGAAGACCTGTCACTCTCTAGATGGGACTAAATCTCACCCATGGGTCTGGATGAGGTTGTCAAGACAGCAAGTGTATAAATGAAAGGAAGCTCAGAGATTGAGCCCTGCAGCTCCAGCATTTCAATGAACATTTCAGTGAACATGGATTGGGAGAAGAAGCTGGAGAGTAGAAGGAAAACCAGGAGTATGTGATTACTGGAAGCAAAGTGAAGAGGGGTTTTAGGATCAGCTGTATGAAATGCTTCTGATGAGTCAAGTAAAGTCAAGCTGCAAATTGACCTCTGGACTAAAACTGTGGGAGGTCATTGGTGACTTGGATAAAAGCAGCTTTGTGGAAAACAGTGTATTAAAGGCTCACTGGGAAAGGGAGGGAAGAAATAGAAGACAGTGAGTCTATACTCTGGCGGAGTTTCACTTAATAGGTGAGGAAGGAACAGTGTGGTATTTGGAGAGGAAAGTGGAATCAAGAAACTTACTTTAAACTAAAGGAAATAACAGATGTAGTTCGCCAATGGGAATGATATGGTAAGAAAGAGGAAAATTGATGATGCAGGAGAGATGGGAAGGTTCCTGGAGGTGGCCTGTGTAGGGAATGGGACCCAGTCCCAAGTGGAAAGGCTGTGCTTGTCCAGGATCCCTGACAATTCACCCATAGCAACAGGGGAGAAGGCAGGGCATAAAAGCAGACAGGTATTATCGATAGGTAACTAACTAGTATCTCAAACCTGTCATTTCATGGATGCTATTGCAAAGTGGAGAATAATAATAGGGGTGGAATGTGGATAAAGCACAAATGAAGATCACACTTCAGTGACTGAATTTTGGAGCACGATTGTAAGCAGTGGTCAGGAGTATGTGTGTGACTGGATGCAGGGAGGTGATCTGGAAGGTCATTACTTTTTCCTGGGTAAGTGATGAGGGTGTGAGCTGTGAAGTGGCTGTGAAGGAACAGATGGAATAAATAAATTTAGGTCCGTAGTGTTCAAAGACTGGTGATTAGCCGTGAGGAGTAAAGGAAGGCTTTCTGTTTTCGGATGTGGGGTTGAGTGGATGGAATTGCCAGACACAGCGTTGCGGCACCCTCAAGGAAGAGGAGCGATTCTAGGGAAGAGATCTTATTCTTTTGGCTGCAGAGATAAGAGAACGGTCTAAGGCACACCTGGCTGCCCAAGCCTTCCCCAAGAACCAGGGCCCATTGGTGGTGTTTGGGAGGGGGTGTGATACAGACATTCAGACTGTGCTAGAGGAGGACAAGCTGTGGCTATTGAAAGCTTCTGCAAGAAGATGACCTTGAAGGTTTGTTGGATGCTGGCAGATGGAGAGAGCGGACAGACTGCTGGGAATGGTAGGAGCACGTGGGGTGTGCAGGCAAGGGTGGAAGTCTGCAGCCTGGAATGTTTTGTGTGGCCTGAGTCTTTGGTTTAAGCTTAATAGGCAGGACTAGAAAGGGGGTTGAGGTGTGTGGTAGTCAAGCTCAGAAGTTAATCTGGAATTAGATGTAGAAGGGGTCTGGGCTGGGGCTGGAGGCTGGGCAGGTTTAGTTTGGGGCAGAGAGCTCCCAACTCGTGTGATTGCCCTCATGGTCTTTCTCAATACCCACAGGCAACAGGACTTGTATCGGATCCTTAAGGCCTACACTATCTACCGGCCCGACGAGGGCTACTGCCAGGCCCAGGCCCCTGTGGCCGCGGTGCTGCTCATGCACATGCCTGCTGAGGTCAGCATACTCTGGTCCTGGTTGGGGGCGGGTGGGGAGGATCTTGGCCTACAGTGGTGAGGGGGGAGCGCTCTCACCGTTTCTCAGGCCCCTCCCTCCTTGTTTTTTTTGTTCTTCAGCAAGCCTTTTGGTGCCTGGTACAGATCTGCGATAAGTACCTCCCGGGTTACTACAGTGCAGGGCTGGTGAGTATCGGAGGGCTTGGTACAGCAGGCTGTGACTTTTCCCCAAGGAGGTCCTTATCCTGCCCCACCCTCTGCCCTTTTGTCCCCTCTGCTCTGGGCCTTTCCCACTGAGGTGAGGTGAGGACCCCTACTCAAGGGGACACAGTAGGCCTTTTCTCATGGCTCCTCTCATTTTCAGGAGGCCATTCAGCTCGACGGAGAAATCTTTTTTGCGCTGTTGCGCCGTGCCTCCCCACTGGCACACAGACACCTGCGGCGGCAGCGCATCGACCCCGTGCTCTACATGACAGAATGGTTCATGTGCATCTTTGCCCGCACCCTGCCCTGGGCTTCAGTGCTGCGGGTCTGGGATATGTTCTTCTGTGAAGGTACATTCGTAGGGGTTTTCATGGTGCCTACCAGCACTTGTTGGGTCTGGGGTTGGAAACTGAGGCCACCAGCACAGAGCCTACTCTCCCTCTCAGGAACCGGAAACCCATGGCAGCCCATTTCTCATCTTGGGACCTCAGTTTCCTCATGTGTGCGGTTTACAGTAGATAGGGATGGGAGCTGTGAGTCCCTCCTACATGGGACATGCTGAGATCACAGGCATGGTCACCAGTGCTGTCTTCTGCACTCTGCAGGCGTAAAGATCATTTTCCGGGTGGCCCTGGTGTTGCTGCGGCACACACTGGGCTCAGTGGAGAAGCTGCGTGCCTGCCAGGGCATGTACGAAACCATGGAGCAGCTGCGCAACCTGCCGCAACAGTGCATGCAGGAGGACTTTCTGGTGCATGAGGTAGGCATGAGAGGCTTTGGCAAAGCCCAAAGCTGCTTCCGGCCATCCCCACCTCATCTGCATTCTGGTATTTCTTCTTCATCTAGGTGACTACCCTCCCAGTGACAGAAGCACTGATTGAGCGAGAAAACACAGCCCAGCTCAAGAAGTGGCGGGAAACCCGGGGGGAACTACAGTATCGGCCCTCACGGCGACTACATGGCTCCCGGGCCATCCATGAGGAACGCCGGAGGCAGCAGCCACCCCTGGGCCCCTCCTCTAGCCTCCTCAGCCTCCCCGGCCTCAAGAGCCGGGGCTCCCTGGCAGCTGGAGGGGTCCCATCTCCACCCCCTCCTTCCCACAGGGCCAGTGCTGGGCCTGCCCCAGGGCCTGTGGTCACCGCTGAGGGACTGCACCCATCCCTTCCTTCGCCCACCGGTAACAGCACCCCTCTGGGCCCCAGCAAGGAGACCCGGAGGCAGGAGAAGGACCGGAAGCAGGAGAAGGAACGGCAGAAACAGGAAAAGGAACGTGAGAAACAAGAAAAGGAGCGTGAGAAAGAGCGACAGAAACAAGAGAAAGAGCGGCAGAAACAAGAGAAAGAGCGGCAGAAGTGGGAAAAGGAGCTGGAGAAGGAACAGCAGAAGCAAGAGAAGGAACGGCAGAAGCTGGAGAAGAAGGCCCAGGGCAGGAAGCTCTCACTGCGTAGAAAGGCAGATGGGCCTCCAGCCCCGCAGGATGGTGGGGAAAGGTCCTCAGCCTCCGAGACCCGGCAGGATGCTTACTTCTGACCTCTGCTCTGGGGCTGGACTGCATGGCCCCCCCTTTTCCCCTCAGCCAAGAGCAGACCCCTCAGTAGGCTGTCCCTCTTTCTGAGGAAAGTGGCTTGATTCCCCGTTTCCTTGCCAGCTGCTGATCCCTTCACAGCCAGGACAGTCAGTGCATGGGGCAGCTGCACTTCTCGAGGCAGCTGTCGAACAAGTCTGGAGCCCCTCACCTCGTTAGGTCCAGCTGGGGTCTCTCTCCTGCCCCAGTTCCCTTTGGGGTCCCTTTCCAGGTGCTGTCCTGATTGGCCTTTTGTCACCAAAGGGGTGACTCTTGGCAATGGGGGAGTCAGAAGTTTTCAGATTCTTACACTCCAGTTGCTCCCCTTACCCATGAAGTGGAGGTAGGTTCCTTTCTCTCTCCAGTCCTGCCTGCCTCCCCCACTTCCTGGCTGGGGGCCTCCCTGACTTCTGGACATCTCTGTTGTAATTATGTATAAAGGACCTGGTTGGCTCAGGGGTGGGGTGTTCGCTTAATCTTCTGTCCTTTGGTTCTTCCACAATGTCCTTGCACTCTATTTAAGGGGACATGCACTGGAACAGGAAATGTCCCCCACTTCCTCACCCACTACCCTCCTGCTCTCCTTCCTATCCACCCACCTTTCTCTGTATTCTCATGCCTCCCCTGCTCTGTATCACCAGGACTCCCACTTTCACCTTATTTCCTTCTAACCCTCCAGCCCCTATTTGGAAAAGGGGTCTTTTCTCGAGCTCCAGGGGGTGGAACCCAATGTTTACATTCTCTTCTGTATCTGCCCCCACCCCATGTGGCGCTTTGAGGAACCAGAAAAGAACCTGCTATTATACCTGGGCATGTCTTCTGCCTTGTTATTTGATGAAGGGGTTAGAATAAGGACTAGAGGGGAGGGAGCAAGTGATGAGTGAGCCAGGATCTATTAAAGCAGTTGGCTGGTCTCGACAGGTAGTTACCCCTCCGCCTTTGGTCCATCTCTCAGTCATTCATCAACAAACAGCGGTTGAGCTCCTGCTCCGTCTTTGCCTGGGATCGGCTGCCTCCATTGGTGCTGGCCTCCTGAAGCCCTCTACGCATCACCTGCAGCGCCCGGATCTCCTTCCCAAAGCGCTCATGCAACTCCTGGAACCTGGAGTGGGGACTGAGGGTGGCTAGAAGGCCACAGTCCTGTGGGAGGAGGGGGATGTCGGGGTCAGCTGGGTTCTTGGCCAGCTGCTTGGCACAGCTTTGGTACTGAGCCTCTAGGGGGTGGGGGAAGTAGCACAGCTAGTTGCCTCCAGCTCACCCCAGCCTGAACCCACAGCCAGGTTCCCAGCTCCTGGTTTTCTGCTTCCAGCTTGGACTGCCCAACTTCTGTGCCCTCTACCTCAGGGGTCAGGATGGTAAAGGCATAGGGTTCTGTGGCCCCAAAGCATGGCTCCACCTGGCAGTTCTCCAACAGGATGAGGCCCAGGGGCATGCTGTCTGCCTGGTGCTCCTGGGAGGAGAGGTTTCCCCGGAAGATGAACCAGAGACGCTGGTAGCCGGTATTCTGGTCCCCCTTCGTTAACATGACGCCCTCCCGTCTGGAACCTGTATTCCGTACCTGTGGGGGAAACAGCAGACTTTGGGTGCAGTTTCATGGTGGTACACCCTAGAGGAAAGGGAAGGAGTGGTTCATCTTGTTACCCTAAGGACCCCCATGCTGCCCTCCTGTGGATCCAGTAGGCTCTTTGGGCACAGCCTTAGCTTAGAGGGATTCAGACTCTTGAGTGTCCCCCAAAACTAGAGGTTTTGTCCCCGCAGCACGAAGCCCGCTTCCCCACCACAGCTCTGCCTCTTGGGCCAGATTACAGAACCTGGGAAGGGCCACTGGGCTGGGGCCATGTTTGCTAAGACCGGGTCTTTATTCCGCGGCTGTGGTTGGGGAGAGGCTCTGATGCTCGCTCCCAGGTCTACCCGAGATCTGGGCCCAAGGGGTGCCCTTTCCACGTCAGAAACCTGGAACTAGCGGGGGCTGGGGGTGCGGGGTAAATTACTCCCCCGGGGCCCTAAAAGGAGCCGAGTCTGGAAAGAGCCCCACAGCGGCCAGGGGCCTCCAGGCGGGCCATCGGGAGGGCCGGGCTTACCCCAGGGAGAGGAGCAGGACTGGGCCGCGGCCTGAGAGAGGGCGGGTGGCTGGACGCCGAGTGGGAGAGAAGGATTTCCAATGGGTGGTGCGGCGCGCAGAGCCTCGGCCGGCCTGAGGAAAGGTGGCGCAACCTTAGAAAGAGGAACTAGGGCAGGAACCCATTGGCCCTGCTCGGATTTCTCTCCACCGTGACCCTGGGCGCCCCTCTTTCTCCCCAGAGCCTCTACTGCTGTGGGAGGCAATGAACCCAGCTGGCGGCCATCCCTCTCGAGAGTCCACAGTCCCGTCTTCCCGTCGTATTCCCCAAACAGTCACTTCTGAGGGGCGGGGGTGTGCTCCCCGCTCCACACGAACTCTCGCTCGCTCCGTCAGTTGGTCCCACCTAGAGCGAAGCCACTTCCGGTCTTCACAGTTCTCTTCCGGGTGAAGGCGTGGGGGGGGCCGGATGTAGCCCTGGCGCGAGCAGCTACGCTTCCCTTTGCCAGGCTGCCCGGGCCTCAGGTGAGCGCCGGCGGGCTGCTCGGTCCCCGTGGCTCTGCCGCTTCTCAGTGTGCACGTAGCCCGCGGGTTGGGGGGCAGCCCGCGGCGGAGTTGGGAGTTCGGCGCAGGGAGGAGCGGGGAGACCGGGCGCTAGGTCCTAGGTCCTCGCGGGCCTCACGGATCCGAGGGGGCTGGTGGAGGAGCGGGTGTCAGCCCGCGGGCCGCGCCGCGACCGGGGCTGCGGGAGCCGGGCGGGGTGGCCGCGTGAGGAAGCCGGTCTCCTGGCGTCCAGGGTGGCGGTGCCGGTGGGAGCTCCGCCGTGTGCTCACCGCTCGGACCCTGCTCCAGCAGATCTTCTGGGGGCCAGGCCGGGTCCCGGGGGCCTCCTGGCTGCCAACGCCCCTTTCGGCCCCTCCTTCCGTGTTCATTCCCCGCCAAACCGGACCTAGGACGTGCGGGGGGATGTCTGTGGAGCGGAGGGCCCTCTCGCGGTGAGTGCCCTCGCCCAGTCCCTAATCTGCACCTTTTCCCCCAGCTCGGTCTGGGGAAGACCCCTCTGCCCCGCCATGCCGAAGAGGAAAGTGACCTTCCAGGGCGTGGGGAATGAGGATGAGGAGGATGAGACCAGTGCTCCCAAGAAGGTGAGGAGGCCAGACTCCTGGGTCCTGGGGAGGAAAAGGAACTGGAAGCCCGAAGCGGGGAAACGTTTGGGGGAGAAGGAAAGGGCAAGCTTTTTCATGTTCTCTGAGAAATGGGTTTGGAGGATTTTTTCATGTTGCGTTCAGATCCTAGCGCATTTTGAGGTACAGTCGGGTGCTAAAGAATAAAAATAAAAAAGTAGCCCTTGCTGGTTTGGTTCAATGGATAGAGCGCCGGCCTGCAGACTGAAGGGTCCCAGGTTCTATTCCGGCCAGGGGCATATGCCTGGGTGCGGGCTGGATCCCCAGTAGGGGGCGTGCAAGAGGCAGCCTATCAAGATTCTCTCACCATTGATGTTTCTATTTCTCCCTCTCCCTTCCTCTCTAAAATCAAGATAATATATTTGGGGGGGAAAAAGGAAAAATAATAACACTTTTCCTCCCACCTTCAAGTTCTTGTAGTTGGGCCAATGATCAAATTAACAGGGGAAAATCAAATTTTAATACATGCACATGGGAAATTCACATAAGCATGAAAATCCCAGACAGTGAGGCAACATTAGGTATATATGACATTTTGGACAAAAGAGTAAAATGGCTTCTTATTTTTATATAAAACAATTTTTTAAATTGATTTCAGAGTGGAAGGGAGAGGTAGAGGAAGATAGAAATATCCTATATAATAAAAGTCTAATATGCAAATCAACTGACCAGCAGAATGATGGGCAGAACGACTGGTTGCTTTGATGCGTACTGACACCAGGGGGCAGACGCTCAACGCAGGAGCTGCCCCCAGTTGTGGCAGGGGGCGGGGTTGGCAAGTGTGCGGCACCAGGCCAGCCAAGGTGGGTGCCAGCAGGGGCCTTCCAATTACCCCACCAGTCACCCTGCAGATCAGCCCTGGTCGCCAGCCAGGCCTGGGGACCCTACCTGTGCACGGGTTTCGTGCACCAGACCTCTAGTCAATGATAAGAGAGAATCGATCGGCTGCCTCCTGCATGCCCTATACTGAGGACTGAGCCCACAACCTGGGCATGTGCCCTGACTGGGAATTGAACCTCGATCTTTTGGTTCATAGGTCGACGCTCAACCACTGAGCCACACTGGCTGGGTAACTTTTAGTTTTTAGAAGTGAGAATTGGGCACTTGACAGGTAGTTGAGGAACAGCAGAATACATGTGGCAGGCAAATTCTTGCTAGGCAACTCAAGAAACAGTGAGTCACAGGGACTCTAACTAAACGCTGTCTTATTTACCATGCTTAATTCAAATTAGACTGAGGTGAACATCCTAAGATTTCCTTCCTATAATGAGTCTCTTATCTGAATCTATTGGGCAGGAAAGCGGGGAGGGCCAAAGGTTCTTTCTGAGCCTTGTTTCTTAATAGCTTAAAATTAATATTCCAAAAAGGCAGTTTCAGGTTGGCAAGTCTTTGGTTCCCTTCAATAACCAGTAACCTGAATCTGTGGACTGTCTGGCTCCTGCTCATAGCTGGTGGACCCTGTGGCTGGCGCAGGAGGTCCTGGGAGCCGCTTCAAAGGCAAACACTCTTTGGACAGTGATGAGGAGGATGATGAGGAGGAGGGGTCCAGGAAATATGACATCCTGGCCTCAGAGGATGTGGAAGGTGAGTTATACCCAAGAACTGACTGCTGGGGGGACAAATGGGAATGTGAACACAGAGGCTCCTGTCTCTGGCATGCCAGCATGGACACCTGTGTCTTTGGTGCAGGTCAGGAAGCAGCCACACTCCCCAGTGAGGGAGGTGTGCGGATCACACCCTTCAACCTCCAGGAAGAGATGGAAGAAGGTCATTTTGATGCTGATGGCAACTACTTCCTGAACCAGGATGCTCAGATCCGAGACAGCTGGCTGGACAACATTGACTGGGTGTGGCTCAGGGGCTGGCTCAGGGGCTGGCATGGCTGGGGCCTGGAGGCAGCAAGTGCTTGGGCCCTACTTGCAGTTTGTAGGAAATAATCCCCCAATTTTCACATTACAGGTGAAGATCAGGGAGCGGCCACCTGGTCAGCGCTCACCGTCAAACTCAGAGGAGGAGGACGGCCTGGGCCAGACACCATTGAGTGCCCAAGCCCTCCTGGAGGGCCTTCTGGAGCTCCTGCTGCCAAGAGAGACAGTGGCTGGGGCACTGAGGCGTCTGGGGGCCAGAGGAGGAGGCAAAGGGGATAGCAAGGGGCCCGGGCGGCCCAGTTCCCCCCAGCGCTTGGACCGGCTGTGCGGTTTGGCCGACCAGATGGTGGCTCGAGGCAACCTTGGTGTTTATCAGGAGACAAGAGAACGCTTGGCCATGCAGTTGAAGGGGTTGGGGTGCCGGACCCAGGGACCCCTTGACTCCACGCCCAAACCTTCTCTGGACATGTTTGCTGAGGAAGTAGCAGAAGGGGAGCTGGAGACCCCAACCCCTGTCCAGCGAGGAGGTGAGACTTCAGGGCAGAGATGGGGTGTTGTGGCAGGGGCAGGACACTGGAAGCCCAGATGGCTTTGCTTGCTATTTCAGAAGCAGAGTCACCAGGACCCGGTCTGCTGGATGTGATGTGGGAATATAAGTGGGAGAATACAGGTGATGCTGAGCTATACGGGCCCTTCACCAGCAGCCAGATGCAGGTAAGCCCCATCTGCCTCTTCTCTCCCCTCCCTGCCCTCCCTCAGTCCTCCTCCAGTTCTGCCCTCTCTTCCTGCAGACTTGGGTGAATGAAGGCTACTTCCCTGATGGTGTGTATTGCCGGAAGCTGGACCCCCCGGGTGGACAGTTCTACAACTCAAAACGAATTGACTTTGACCTCTACACCTGAGCCTTCTGAGGGCCAGCTAGTGGCTCTTTCTTTCCTGGACTCTGGAGGAGGCCCCAGTTGCCTCAGGCAGTGAGAATATTGGGGGCCACTTTTCAGTCAGTTTCCTTCCCCAATAAAAGCCTATAGTTGTGTATTAGGTCCTTGACTGTCCTGATGGCCAGAAGCCAGGGACCTCCACAGCCCCTTTGGATTTGGCTCTGTCCCTGAGTATTTTCTCATGAACTTTCTCTTGGAGAGTTTCTGGGTTTTGTTTACCACTCCTAGGGACACTGCCCGGGCTGTCAGGTGTCCTGTGGCCTCCCCACCTGGACTCTGCCCACCATCGGAAAACCCCTTCACTCCCGTGTCACTCTCCAGGATTGGGCGCTCCTGTATCCTGTTCTTAGGTCGTTGGCTTTTAGGACCTCAGACTCTGTCCTTGCAGCCAGGATAGGATAGAGCTGGAAGTGGAGACGTCAGGCCTTGCAGGGCTGGAGCATCTGTTGGGTGTGAGCAGGAAGCCTGGTATTCACTGGCTCCCACTGTCTCAAGCTCCTTAGGCAAAGTGCAGACTCAGCGTTGGCACTTGAAGGACCCTTGAAATAATAAAAAATAATTTAAAAAACCTCTCTAAGACCAATGACATAACCTGGGACAACTGCCCATTGAACAAGTACTGAGGGGCTGTCCCTCACTGGAGGTGACAGTGAATCAGAGGGTTGGCACAGACCCATTGGGCTCCTTTCCCAAACCTTTCTTGGTACCAGGTGTTTTCTGCCTGGCATTTGAGGCCCTGAAGCTTATATTTTCTGGGCTCCCACAGTGTGCCTAGCACAGGACTAACGCCTTGAGGGACTAAGATAACTGAGCTGGTCCCCTTCCAGGAATTCAGAGTTGGGGTGAGGGAGTGGGGTGGAATTATACCGTGTCTCAGGTATAATTATAATTATGTCTCAGGTATAATTATAATTATAATTCCATAATAAGACTTGACCCCCCCCAATCCCTCCACTTTTCACCTTGGCTGGCCATTGGGCTCTCATGGGGAGCTGTCACATTACTTCTCAGAGAGTTGAATGAGTTGATCTAGGACCTAGTTTCTAGGTAATGGCCTGGAGGCTGGGTCTTCTAAAAGCTCCTGGGTGTTTCCACTGTGTGGCCCAGTGGAGAACAACGGCCTGGCTCCCAAGGCAGTTACCCCTGGGGAGGGAGTTCCTGCACCTCTGGCAGCCTAGCTGATCATGTGTGTGGCCAGGGCTCTGGTGGAGGTGGTTAGTTACTGGAGAGCTGAGCACCAGAGGCAGGGGACACCTGGGGGTGGAGGGGCCAGGCCGGAACGAGGGGATACCTGATGCTGTAGTGAGGCCTCCAGTTTCTGTAACAATCACACCCACTCTAGTGCTGAGCTAGACCTCGTTTTCATTGACTCCAAGATGCCTTGGGTTGTAAAATGGTTTACTTCGTGTCATTAAAAAGGAAACCCTACCAATTACAGTTGTAGTGTCATCCATTAAAAAGTGCATCGTGATTTCAGAAACGTTCAGGAGTGAAAAGTAGGTCTGTAAGGCCAATGAAATAAGTGTTCACCTGTATGTCCCCGGTGCCTGATTCATGGGAGGTGCTTAGTGTTTGGTGACCGGATGGCAGGAAGCTAATGGACAACTCCCCAGGTTGTCCCACAGGCACCTTAGGCTCCACCTGCTCAGAGCTGTTCACCTCCCTGATGACACCCTTTGTGGGCAGGATAATTGCCCCCAAAGATATTCACATCCTCAATCTCAGAACCTGTGCATATGTGACCTTATGTAGCAAAAGGGACTGCAGATATGATTGACTTTGAGATGAGGTTATTGTGGATAATTGAGATGGGCCCGATGTAATCCAGGGCCCTATGAAGTGGAAGGGCGTCAGGAGGTCATGTGAGGGAGGTGAGGACGTTGCACTGCTGCTGGCTTTGAAGGTGGAAGGGCCGGGTCAGGAATGCAGTGGCCTTAGCAGCTGGAAAAGGCAAGAAAACGAACAAATGTAGCTATTGACGGGACTTGGCCCAGTGACAGTACTTGTGGATTTCTGACCACTAGGCCTCTAAGATAAGATGTGTTGTTTTAAACCATTGAGTTTGTGGTCATTTGTTATAACCCCAGTAGGAATCCAGCCCACACCCCATCCCGCTGACTGCCTCTCCCCTTCATGAATATCCCTGTCTTCTGTGGCCATGTCTCAAGCCACTATCAGCACTTAACTCACTTGCTTTAAAAACAAACAACTTGTATATGTGTCAATTTAAAAAAATATTTTTATTGATTTTAGAGAGAAAGGGAGAGAGAGCAATGATGACAGAATCATTGATCGGCTGCCTCCCCCACACCCCTTACTGGGAGGTGACCCTGCAACCAGGACATGTGCCTTCACTGAGAATTGAACTGACCTGGTTCATAGGTCGACGCTCAACCACTGAGCTACACTGGGCTATGTAAATTTTTTATTAAGTAAGCTTTTTATATTTTACAGTAGTTCTGTATATTTACAAAAATTTTACAAGAGTAGTACAGAGTTCACTGTTTCCCATTAACATCTGTCAGTGGTACATCTGTTAAAACTAACAAACCACCAATGTTACTATTTTTACGAGTTATTGAGCTATCCACCCATTTGGGGTTAAGTATATTCAGTGTTGTACAATCATCACAATAATCTAATTTTGGAACATTCTTGCCTAAGAGCAACCCCACCCATTAGCAGTTCCCCCCTCACCCTTCAGTCTCTGGCAACCTTTAATTTACTTCTGTAGATTTGCCTATTCTGGGCTTTCATACAACTGAAGTCGTACAATATGTGGTCTTTTGTGTCTGCTGCTCGCACTTGGCATGTGTTCAAGATTCTAACACGTAATGTGTTAGTAGTGTTTTATCTGTTTGTTGTTGAATAATGTTTCTATTGTATGGATATATGATATTTTACTATCCACACTTAATATGGGTTTTAATTATAAGTTTTCTCTAATGTCCTTTATCTGTTTCAGAATCCCCTCTAGGATACCACATGTTTAGTTGTCATACCTCTTTAGCTTCCTCTGGTGTGACAGCTTCTCAGACTTGTTTTTGCTGGCCTTGAAAGTTTTGGAAGCACTGGTTAAGCATTTTGTAAAATATTCCTAAACTTTGGGCTTGTCTGGTATTTTTCTCATGATTAGATCTGGGCTGTGGATTTGGGAGAGGAAGATCCTGGAGGTGAAGTTCCTTGTCTTTTCCTGAAAGCCTCCATGGCTCCACATCGCCCTCAGACTGAAGTTCCCAGGCTTGAAGCTGGCTGAGAGGCCATGCGTGGCCTGGAGGGAGCCAGCCCCTCCGGTTCCTGTTTCCTTTCTTATCTCTCCGGACTCCGCCTGTTCCCAGAGCAGGCAGCTCATCTTCTCCAGGCTGCGCCCGGGGTGCCTTTCTCTTCCTGACCACCTGGGGGAGCAGTTACGGCAGCTGTGGAGACAGCTCTAGGCCTCCTTTTCCAAAGGCTCCATAGCTCCTCCCCACTTCCCAGGTGGCTCTTTGTTTCTTCCGCTGCCCAGAGCACAGATGTCTGACGTCTCACCCAGAGCTTTTCTCCTGGCCTGTCTCCCCCAGTTAGCCTGAGACCGGGCCAGTGGTGATGAAGGAAAAGGGGATGAGCCAATTCTTTCCCAGGCTTGGTTCTGTGTGCCAGGGGACAGCCCCCTCCTGAGCCAGGCTAGAGAGTGGGGGCCTCGGGCTGTTTGTCTTTGCTGCTCCAGAAAAGATGAGGCGTGATGGGCGGTGTACAGGACTAGCCCTAAGAGTCTCTCAAAGAGCAGGACAGAGAAGTCATTAGGGACATCCTAGCCTCTGGGACTGTCACTGAGCCATGACAACTTCATAGAGGGGTTCAAGGTCAGAACTGCAGATGTCGCGCTAATCGATTTGTCTCAGTGGATAGAGAGTCGACCTGCTGACTGAAGGGTCCCAGGTTCGATTCCAGTCAAGGTCATGTACCTTGGTTGCAGACACATCCCCAGTGGGGAATGTGCAGGAGGCCGCTGATCAATGTTTCTCTTTCATTGATGTTTCTAGCTTTCTATCCCTCTCTCTTCCTCTCTGTAAAAACTCAATAAAATATATTTTAAAAAAATCTGGGTATCCCTGGCTGAGAGTCTGGGTACCACACTGCTCTGGGCATCTGGTGGGCCCCGGGGAGACAAGCACCATGGAGGAGCCCCCAAAGGGGCTAAAATTAACAAAGGGTCAGGGGCCACAAAGCCGGAGGAGTTAGGGGAAGTCTTAATGCCTTTGACACATCTGCCACCCCTTCCAGACCCACCCGCTGGCTTGCTGCCTCATTGCACAGTCACTGAACCCTTCCCTGCCAGGCAGAGCGGAGGCCTGAGGCTGAGCAGCTGCCTTCTCTTCTGCTCCCAGCAGGAGCCCAGCTGTCCCTGATGCCGTGACCGGAGGAATTCCTCTCTTACTTCCTCCAGGAAGCTTGACCCCTAGATTTGAGCCGGGCCTCCCGTTATGTGGTCCCATAGGTCCTTGTACTTTTCCTTTGTAGTCCTCAGCGGGGACTGCAGTATGTTCTCTGAGAGCTGGAACCATGGGGAGCCCCTATTTCCCCAGCACCGAGTGTCATACTTTAGTACCGTGGTCGGCCACATGCGGCTCTTTGGCCCCTTGAGTGTGGCTTTTCCACAAAAAACCACGGCCTAGGCGAGTCTGTTTTGAAGAAGTGACGTTAGAAGAAGTTTAAGTCTAAAAAATTTGGCTCCCAAAAGAAATTTCAATTGTTGTGCTGTTGATATTTGGCTCTGTTGACTAATGAGTTTGCCGACCCCGGCCTTACTACATAGCAGATGTTCAATAAATCTTTGTTGAAAAGGGTTTAGAAGGGCTATTTGGAGCTCTCCAGTCTCAGCAGATAATGGCCCAAGGAAGGAAATGAAAACTGGAGTAAAAGGAATCACAACAAATTTAGTTGGGATACAAGGAGGCTCAACAAGACTCCTTCGATGTCATGAA